TATATATGTATATATGTATATATGTATATATGTATATATGTATATATATATTTATATATATTTATATATATATATATATATTAGACATCTATATTAGATACGTGTTTGTATTTATATATGTCCTTCTTGTCCGTCTTTGAACTTCACGTATTTTAGGTGACGAACTTCCCGAGCTGGACAACACAGCCGACTACTGGCTCGGCTCAATCGCCCGTGCAACGATGCAGACCTACTGTGATGCCATCCTGCTCATTCCACAACTCAGTGCCCACTCCACCAAACAGCTGGTCACTGATATTGGTAAAATAGTTTAAAGACACGTTTCCTCAACATCAATGAAGAGTTCATCCTGCCCCTATCCTTCCAGCTAAATACACCATTCTTTCCTCCAGACTATCTCAGCAATGTGATGGACGCTCTCGGCCTGCAACCTTCCCGCACCCTGCAGCACATAGTCAGTCTGTTGAGAGCCAAACCAGAGAACTACAGACAAACAGCCAAACTGCTGCCACGTCGCCTGGCCACTACCATCGCTGCTCTCCGATCCATTGACTACTAACCCGTTGAGACGAAAGGACACTTTTGGTATAAAGGAGGGAGACCGAGTCATTCCTGGATTGTTTCCATTTGGGCATTTTAGAGTTATTCTTTTATGAAGAAATCAAAGTTAAGGTTGGTTAAGGTAGGTTTTTTTTTTTTTTTTAATACCAAACTAAGCGATGTCAGGGTGGTGATCATGCTTTTTACTGTAGACAAAGTCAAAGCATCTTGGTTTTTTTGTTTTAGTTGTCTAATGGGGTCATGCGTTCTGATCAGGGCTCTGGTGTCAGCATTTGAAATTAAGCTCTTATCTAAATAAATGTCATTGATAAGCTCTTCTAACAATGTAATGGATATATAATTAATTATATTTCTGGGAAAAAGCCTAACTTTGTCACTATTATTTATCAACATCAAGGATTGTCTAACAGTGAGTTTTTAGATTGAACTAGAGAGCTTGTCCGCTCCCCTTCCTTCTCATGTGTTTGAGAAAGGCATGCCGTGACTTTCGCAGAAGGGTAAAAAAATGTCATTTGTATACACATTGTCATGCAAATCACATTCAGGAAGTTTGAAAACTGTCAGTAAAAGTAATAAATATAACATGTCTTCGTTCTCTCCTTTAGGAAACCCGATTGGGTAGCAACGCTTCCAAATACTGGGAAAGTCAAATACTCAATACACAGCGAATTGAAATACTTTTAAGAACCTGATAACGTGTATATTTTTATCTGTACAAACCACTGTGTGAGTTGCTGCCACCTAGGGACTGGAGGCTTGTTATCATTCATGCATTACAGCAGTAATACATATAGTATTATACTATAAAAAGTAATATACTATACTAATAGGATTCTAAAAAAAATCTTCAAAATAAAAGTTTCTAAAAATCCCTCATTGTCTTAAAATAAGTAATAGTGTCATTTTACTTAAAATTCTTAATGTTTTTTTTTGGTTTGTCTACCATTTACCAAAAGCAACTCACTATACAATTATTTTTTAGTTACTCTACAAGTGTGTGGTTCCTCTGGGATGTGAACCTAGGATTCTCTGCTCTTTACTTCTGAGGCAGGCATGTTATGGATCCATTTTGATGATATTTTGACATGTTCAGAAACAATGGTTTTGGGAGTTTATAGCACAAATTATTCACTTGGCAGCATGTTTTGGGGCATAACCTTGCATTTTGAGGTCATTTTGAGATGAGCTCAGTAACCACTATAAAGTCTGTCTTAAAATACTTCCATCCATCCATCCATTTTCATCCGCTTATCCGTTACCGGGTCGCAGGGGCAGTAGTCTCCACCCAAATCACATTGCACCGTACCAACCCCCCAAAGTTAAATCTTCAGTACATCTGACGTCAACAAGGGTGATCAACCTGGGACCGTGGCACAGGTTTGGTTGTAAATACATGTCAGATTCATTAAGGCAATCAAAGAATTTAAGATTTTCTTAAATGTAAAAACTGTGCAAAAAAAAACATCAATGCAAAAAAATATATATATTAGCAGTAAAATGTGTATAACAAAAGTAAAGGTGCTAATTGTTAGCTTACTTCAAAGCCAGTGAGTCCACTGGAAGGTACCAACCTGCCCTAACTGGGATTCGAAATTGCCCAGGAGGTGCAAACCTGCTGGCTCTCATGCTTAGGGGTTGCTCAGAATGTAGAATGCCTGTTTTAAACATTGTTGAACGTTGTTGTGGGTTTGTGTTTGTTTGGTTTTTTAGCTCCTGTTGTTACCCTATAAACCGGGCCACACTGCTTAGACCACATGTGTCAAACTAGGGCCCGGGGGCCAAATCTGGCCCACAGTGTAATTGCAGTATATCTGATTTGCAAGATCATATTAAATGTGTGCTCGATTTGGCCTGCCTGTTTTTAGCCTATATATACTGGCAGGATTTGTAGTATACCCTGCGACCTGGTAACGGGTAAGCACACACACACACACATATATATATATATGTATATATGTATATATATATATATAGGTGAAGATTGAAGATGTGAAATTGTTAATGTACGCTTTAATGGAAAAGCAGTCTACTGCATAAGGCATGCAAGGCATTTCAAACTGGAACAACTGTGGTGCAACCTTTTACAAGCGACCACAGAGGGCGCCAAAGCCTCAAATGAAGTGGTTCGACTCCTGAAACGTGACTGAAATAAGGTGCTGAATATCCTTAAAGGCACCGGGAAATTGTTTTTGAGTATGTTTATCATTTCCGAGAAACGCTGATGTTTGAGCAGTAACAATAAAACAATTACAAAAAATCTTTACAATGATCAATTTACTCTGATTATTTAAAATATTGCAAACCAATCAGAGTTCAAATGTTCCTTACTGATAAATATTGTTTATTCATAGAAAGTGTAAAGAATAAAACAACCCAAAAAACAATTCCCGTCTCTTGCATTGTAACCATGTTATAGTTTTAAAACTTAATTGAAGAACTAGCAAATTAGCCACTCCAGCTACGTTATGAACCTGAAAGGGATTAAGCAGTAAAGGCTGAATAAAATAAACTGTGTTTCCAAACATTCCAACTAAGACTCACATGGTTTGAAACCTGTGGCTTAAACAATGATGCGGCTAATTTATGGATTTTTAACAGGCTAGCGATCAATGACTTTCCTGGTAGCTTATATTTAGGTGTGCTCAAAAGTTCGGAAATGACGGTAGTTCTGCAAAGTTCTTGGGATAAATGTTGAAACTACCGACTGCTGACAGATTTGTCAAAGCAAACCGCTCACCGAAACAATCTTGAAAGGCTGACTTCCAGATTTGTTTTTTCCTTCGTGACGCTTGTGAAGTTTGTCACTCTTACTTAGTCTCATGTCGAAAATCTTCACTCGTTTAAAAGCCAACAAAATCTGTCACCAGTGCGGTCCTCGGGCCTCATGTTGGACACGTGTTAACGGCTGAAGATTAATCATACAAGATCAAGCAACATCAGGTGGACGTATACATTGACAGTGATAGAATAAATTTTTTTTTTTATGTCAGTACTACTCAAATAGTGGGGCGGGGGGGCATGAGGGGCTTCCAGTGGAGCACGGCATTGACCCCATGATGACATAAAAATATGACAAATCAAATGTATTATATAATAATATAAATATATTAAAGGTAAATGCTACATACATTTTTGTATATACATGTAATATAAAAGTATAATAATAATAACCAGAGGTGGGACCAAGTCGTTGCTTTGCAAGTCTTTGCGTTCAAGTCCGAGTTAAGTCTCAAGTCAAGACAGGCAAAGTCCGAGTCGAGTCCAAGTCAAGACTGAAAAGTGTCAAGTCAAGTCCCAAGTCCTGCCGTTTCTGTTTCGAGTCCTTTCGAGTCCTTTTAAATAAAATAATAATATATTTACACAGATCACGTTGGGTTTCGGAGAAAGACTTGTCGAGTCAAAGGGCATCAAGTCCAAGTGAAGTCATGAGTCATTGATGTTAAAGTCCAAGTCGAGTTGCAAGTCTCTTTACATTTTGTCAAGTCGAGTCTAAAAGTCATCAAATTGATGACTCGAGTCTGACTCGAGTCCAAGTCATGCGACTCGAGTCCACACCTCTGATAATAACAATGCATATTCAGTTACTAGTTCGTACTCAACACAAATGTATAAATATACAAAGACACGTTCTTTTTTTGAAAACAATCCTAAAGGTGCTTTTACGGACTTCCATTTCCATTTTCGAACTCATATTTTGCATGAAATGTATACACCTTTTCGCATCACTCATCCAGCTGGACGAAGGCACATGATGACTTTTGTCCGACCCATAAACCTGGCATCATTCTTCCCTTGAAGGAGGTTTTAATGGACCGCAGCAGTTGGATCTCCTTCGTGATTTCGCCCCCTTCCTCTGTTTTTGTTACCTCTTGTATTGCATAAAAGTTGATGACCCCTGCTGGATGGTCAAGGTACACTCCAATGGTGGTGCTCTTGGGAATATCCCAGATCTCTGTGTTGATTCCATTGAACCACAGCTGATAGTGGGATCCACCCCAGCCCAGTCCCCAGGACTGGTCGTTTTCTCCGAGGCCACAGGGTCCGTGACTTCCCCTTCTGGCTTCGCCTTCGTAAGCAACTCCGACGACCACCCATCCTGAATACTTGACCTCCCAGTATGCTCGAAATCCGAGGATGCCCTCTTTGCAAAGAACCTTTAATTGAAACAGAAGTACGTATTTGTAAAGCACACATTGAGCGCATTACCGAATTTTTGGACTATACGCCGCTACGTTTTTCACACCCCTTTGAACCCCGCGGGCCCCCCGGAGCTAATGTTAGCTTCAGCCCTGGAGCAGATCACTGCAGCTTATGGAGTATGGTAGCCTATATATGTGCAATTATTTTTTTTTTTTTTTAAATTTGTTGGGTGCGGCTTATATCCAGGTGCGCTCAATAGTCCGGAAATTACGGTATGTTATTTTGAAATGCCTTCAACTGTCGTATAGTTTTTGTGTAGTAAACCTTGCCTGAGGAACATGCTCATATCTCTCGGGCCTCTCCAGAACAGGACAAGTGACTTCATCTGTCATGCGGGACACCTTGGATCCATCCCCGGAGATCCAGAGCATTTTATTGGCTGTCTTGTCATCCAGGGAGAGATTGATCCAGTCTGTGGGACGTTGGACGCAGAAGAAGTGCAGAAATAAGTAAGAATTAAAAAAAAACAAAAAAAAAAACAAAAAACTTAGGGGGCGTATGATGCCCACAGATTTGCCGTTACTTACATTTTAGGAGATCTACCCTGCATGTGGGCTCAGGGATGTTTGGCTCATATTGGTGTTTTTTCTCTGCATGAAGAGGAAAAAAAAAATTAGCAAGAAAAAAAAAAGATGCTTTGGTAATTCCGTAATCTTTACACTAACCTGCGCATGAAGCAGAATCTTTCGACTTTATCCCTGTTGAGATTAAACCAAAAATAAATGTCACATTTTCATCCATTTCTGTCGGCTAATGAGGGCAAAAATGTTCTACACTGACGCCAAAAAAAATGAGTTATTTACAAACGGTTCATTTCGTAAGGACATCGCTGACATTTTTGGTAATGGCCACCAGAACTGACAATCGACAAAAGAAAAGGGCCGACTCACCACGTCTGACCGTTGCAGGCATGATGTTTGCACTCGGAGCTCCCGTCGGCATCTCTGTCACTTAGTCCCCTGTCCTCCAGGATCTTCCCCGTTTGTCTGCGACAAACAATGCGGCCAGCTGAGGATGACCTCTTTATACCCCCCACGAGAAAGGAGGGCATTAAAGCTCATGGGGGCCCTGGAGACTCCCCACCATAGGTTTTGGTAAGGTATGTAAAGATAAATACTCCACTAATGGGCGAGTGGGTAAAATATTTTAATAGGTCATTGCCCATTTATTTTTACAACATAGTCTAATCTTTCAGTGAAATATCCCTACATTTTTTTTTTAGTGTCACCTTTTATGTAATCTCCTAAATGTTTTGTCTTTTTCTGTTATTTTCTGACTGATTTTCAGTGTAATACAGGCATCGGCAAACTAAGGCCCGGGGACAGGATGTGGCCCGTTCAGCTTTTTTTTTAATCTGGCCCGCCAGTTTAAAGCAAGTTTTCCAAATTACATAATTTATTCATATTCAAATTACATAATGTATTCATATTATCATTATATTTCTGTTTTTTTTTTTTCCCCCCGCAATACCTATGTTTCCACAATAGATGGCGTAGAAAATGATAAACAGCATTTTTTCATTTTAGGGTTTAGGCATGACTTTTACATGTCATTTATCTGAATTCACACCAACACTCCATCTATCTGCTCCTGACCAGCCCCCCCGCGTTCAATTTTAGGTTCAATTGTGGCGAGTCAAAACATATGCCCTAACGTAATGATGTTACAGCA